TATTATCTCATTGATAGGTCCAGCAGGCATGAAAGGCTAAATGGCTTATTCCTACATGTATTTCTTATCATTCTACATTCTTATGTAAGTTCACACTGCTTCATCATGGCTTTGGATTACAATGTACATAGTTGTTTGTGGGATTTTACACTGTCAATCTGTCCTCCAATAGAATTGTTGGGGTGCTGTTGCTGTATGGTTATAGCAGCTGTATGGAACAGAAATTTGATATCATAGAATCATGGAATCCCTACAGTGTGGAAACAGGCCCTTCGGCCCAACAGGAACAGAACAGGTTCTCAGGAACACAGCATTTGTCTTCCTGGCACTGTCAATGCCTTTGTTATTGCCTGTCAGCCAACAAGACCAGTCTGCTGCCACCCTTGCAAAGATACAACAATCCATAGCCAGGCCTTCTAGGTAGGTAACTGCTCAAGGTGAGCCTCTTAAGCTATTTTCAGTCTCTACCACTAGAAATCCACTGGTCATGCTGCATCTGCTAGGAATGCAGTACATAGGCCAGACATAGAAGGCATACACAAAGGAAATGCACAAGTGTGATTTGTTGAATTCAGCTTGTAACAGGGAAGGTATTTGTTTATTAATTGAGCTTAGAATATTGGGTGAGACGTAGCCAACGCAGTAACCTCACACAGAACAAAGACAATTGTGACTGTTACCAGTATGTGTCTATGGTCACACACAAGCTGCATGTTGGGGGAGTAAAATGTCTTTTGTTTCCAGTATTTATGAAATTGCATCATGGGGATGCCTTCAATGCTAGTGATGTCATCTGGTCACTCTACCGACTCTCTGGCAAGACAAAATGAAATGCCGTTAACTCGCAATGAATAGGAACCATTTGTAATGTTTGTCATGCAGCAGTGAACAGGAAACAACAAGATGTTGCAAATGTCTCCAGCTTGGAAGAAGACAGACACAAAGAACTTCACTGCCACGTTCAGCGAATAGCAATGTGGTCCTTTCCCTGGCTGAGGTGACAATTATGACTATGGAAGGTGGTAGATTTCACCAAGGCACTCTTGCTGGTATTTTCCTCACATTCCTGTATTCAGAAGGGAATGCCTATTAGAGGTCCTTGTGAGCAATTGTCTTTTGCAGAAACCTTGAAGTCAGTAAAAACTCTTTCAGCATCTGCTACACCATTCCCAGGGGACTAGAAAAAGCATCAAACATTTACAGAAATGAAGCAGCAGACAAAAAAAGCCAATTAACCTGTAAGTAATTAATGTGCTTTAAATAGATCATCAATAATTCCTGCTGCTGATCAAGTGTTCTGCTGTGCAAAGTTAAACAAGGCAGGTGGGAAGGAAAATTATTTGGAGCTTTGATCTCCAAAATGGCACTGCTAGTACCAAAATAGAGATGCACACTGATTGATGTCATGATGTACTTGCACTAAACGCTCTTACTGCTGTGTGGTAGTGTCCCTACTATTGGGTTAGTGAGTCTGGGCTCAAGTCCCACCTTGCCCTGGAGGGGTGTCACAACATGCATGAACCAATTGATTAAAAATCTGCCTGCGAGGCTTACTTCTGTTGGCCATTTCCTCTACATTCCCTAATGCCCCAAGTGTTTGCACACAGCAAATGCCATTTCAGATGTCAAATGGCACTTACTGCACTGAAACAACAAGCACAATTACAAGGGGGCACAGGTTCAAGGTCAGAGGGGGAAAGTTTAAGGGAAATGTGCAAGCGAAGTTTTTCACAGAGTGGTAGCGGCCTGGAATGCACTACCAGAAGAGGTGGTGGAAGCGGGCACATTGAAGACATTTAAGAGGCATCTAGATAGGTACATGAATAGGGAGGGAGTAGAGGGATACAGATCGAAAAATGGCAGTTTGTTTTTAAACTAATTAAGGCATGATGGTTGGCCCAGGCTTGGAGGGCCAAAGGGCCTGTTCCTGTGCTGTACTTTTTCATTCGTTCATTTGTATAACCAATTTAAATTTCACACCATCTCTGTCCTTGCTTATTTTGGCATGTCCATAAAGACTCTTACCAATTTTTATAGATGCACCACAGAAAGCATCCTTTCCAGATGCATCTCGGCTTGGATGACAAGTGCCCTGCCCAGGACCATAACAAACAATAGAGTTTGTGAACATAGCCCAGTCGATCATTCAAGCCAACCTTCTATCCACTGACTCCATCTGTACTTCTTACTGCCTCGGGAAGGCAACCAACATAATCAAAGACCCCTCCCATCCCGGTTGTAATCTTTTCTAATCTCTTCTATAAGGCAGAAGATACAAAAGCCTAAACACACATACCAACAGATTCGAGAACAGGTTCTTCCCCGCTGTTGTTAGACCTCTGAATGAACATCTCACTTGTATACGTGTCAATGATAAATTAAATCTGATCCAATCCTATCTTTCAGAATCACCTCCAATAACTCACATTCCACTGATGCAGGCTCACAGGTCTATAGTTTCCAGGCTTCTTCTTACAGCCTTTCTTAAATAACAGCACAATATTAGCCACCCTCCTGTCATCCAGTACATCACCCCTGGTTATAAAATGATACAAATATTTCTGCTAGGGGCCTTGCAACGTCTTCTCTAACCTCCCACAATGTCCCGGGATACAATTGATCAGGTCCCAGAAATTTATCCACCTTTCTCATCCCTTGAACCATTCTGCTAAATATTCTCTATATCATCTGGAAGGGCACTCACATTCTTCCTGAAGGGTGATGAACAGTCAGGTAAAAATGTTTACCATCCAGACACCTTAAAGTTTCAATATCCAAGGCCAAGGCACTTGACACCACTAACCTTCTATAAACAAATATTGCAAAATCGTTAGTGATCACGTAGCTACACTACAAAATTAAGCAAGGGCTCAAGTATTTCACCTTGCTAATAGTGAGCCTCATTTTGTAATCAACTCTCTTGCTTCAGGCACTGAAACTTTGAAGGATCTGCATAAATTGGTAATTTTATTCCCCTCTAGTAGTAAGGTATTTTGTTTATAGTATTTTTGAAAAAACATTTTTTTAAAATATACTAATGTCACTGTAGGGGTCTTGCTTCTATACAGTGTGTAGTGGGCGTAATGGGCATCAGCGTCATGAAGTTGGTACAAAGGGCATACCAGGGCGAGGGGGCATGAGGGGGCCATGGGCAACATTTAGAGGAAAACATGGGATCCATACCATGGTGAATCCCAGAACTGGGTTCCTGCCTCCAGTTTTAAAGGTTTGAGTCAATCTGACTTGATGTAAATCTGGCTCAATGTTTTCTTTTACGAAGCCCAAAATCCCAAATGCTTTGCTATTCACCCTCTCAAATAGGACCTGTCACTTTCAATGATCAATGCACATACACACCTGTCTCTTACTGCATGTTCTTTAGAATGATACTCCACAATGGCCTCCCATTGTATCTACTAAAAGCCTCTTTTCCTTCTTATCCAACCTAAATATTAGTAACATCCAGAATTTTCTGGGCTTGTTGCTCCTATATGAGGAGTGGAGCTGAATTGCATTGTGGTAGAGATGGAAGAAGGTGGTTTTCATGATGGAAAAGATGTGGTTATAAGCTAGTCTAGCAATGCATTAATTTTTGATTTCTCATTCTAGATTTCAAATCTCTTGAACATCTTTCTCCTTCCTATCTCGCTAACTTCCCCTGTGCTACAAAATTCTGGGAATTCTCCACATATTTGATTCTGCCCTCTTCTGCATTTTAATCACTTCAGCCCTGACAGCTGTATCTTGCTATACTTAAAGTCTGAAATTCCCTCAACTTCCTTACGACACTCCTCAAATCCTTTTGAAAATCTCCTTTAATAGCACCTTATTCTGTTAACTTGTTTACTACCATAATCCTATCAAGAGCTTTGGGATGTTTTACTATTTCAAAGATGCTTTATAAATGCAAATTATTGTTCTGTTGATTGTTATACAAAGTGGAAAGCATTTCACAATTGTAGAAGGTGAGTTGAGTCACATGTTGGTAAAAGAATCTTCACACTGAAATAATGCTTCTAAAATCATGCTGATTTGAGCAGCAAATATTATACTAAAACATCTAATTTTGAATTGAATTGTTGAGGTTTGAATCCTGCACAGACTAACAAGACTTTTTCCCTCATATTAGATAGTTGTTAGGACCTTACAGAGATAGCTTTAGGCAGTGGTTTCTTAGTAGTTAAAGCTTAAAACAGCCCAGCCTTGGTTTTGTTCAATTACAAGGACTTTTAAAGTAATAGGAAACATAGGCGACACCACTATGATGGGGGCTTGTAATTAAGGCACATACTTTCATGAACAATTTAAAGAGTTGTATTGCACTTTCTGACCCTTTTCCTGGTCTTCATGCTCACTGACTAGAACACCCTTTTAAAAAAGCAGAAGGAAGTCAACTTGAACAACTGCTACAGCAAACTGTTTTAACTGGCACCTTATCAACCAGCACTCTTGAAAAAGTGACAATAATTAAATACCGCAAATACCGCAATCTCTGAATATTTATGCTGTAAATTTATGCCCACGAATTATATTTCCATTATTTACTGCGTGTTTTTAACATTGATTTTTTTGAGGGATGTTGATGTCTCAAAGGTCAGGGTTTACTGCAGATATGCATACCTCTTGATTCTCCAGAATACTTGATTAACTGACACATTCCTGGTCCCATAGGTGCCAGTTAATAAAATATTTGCTGTATTTAGTTAAAAAAAAGTGGTTGAAAACTGGTTTATGACAACAATATATGAGAAAATAAAAGAATTCTGCAGATTAAATGGGTTTCTGTAATGAGCACAAATGTGGGGTTAGATAAGAAAGGTTAACACCCCCATTTGTTATTGTACAATGCTTAAGCACTCATGTCTATCTTTAAGCATTGTGCAATTACAACTCACATGGGAGTTGGTGCAACCATCTGCAATGTAACCTAGTGTGAACATGTACAGCAAAAATGTCAGAGTTATCAAAATTGGTCTCAAGACTGCAGGGGGCGTACTTACACATGAAGTATGACACCAAAGCCCCAGGAATGTAGCGCCCAATAACTGCACAAAATGTACAGAGACTGCAAATAAGGAGACAAAACTGGGAGTGGTGGTGGGGGTGGGAGAAAAATAAGAAAAGTCATCAAACTGCAAGAGAAAAAGACATTTGAATAAACATGAATAATTGAGCATTACATCATTCATGTATTTAATTATACTGTTCTTCTATTGAACTTGGGTTTGAATCAAAGCAATTTCAATACAGCTTTCAGGTGGATAGCAGTTGAGTGATAAAAATAATTTTGAAATTCAACAATTATTTGCCAACTTCATTGGCAAGTGCAGCAAGAAAAATTAACTTGTGAATATGCACTATATTCATACACTTAGATGCATGTATCAGCCTCTATCAATGTGGGCAATTTTCCCCACTGATGTCGGCAGGCACATCATTTTAATCTCAGAGATAGTAGGAACTGCCAATGCTGGAGGATCTGAGATAACAAGGTGTAGAGCTGGATGGACACAGCAGGCCAGGCAGCATCAGAGGAGCAGGAAGGCTGACATTTCGGGTCTGGACCCTTCTTCAGAAATGGGGGAGGGGAAGGGGACTCTGAAATAGAGAGAGTGGGGGAGGCGAATGGAAGGTGGATAAAGAAGCAGATAGGTGGAGAGGAGACGGACAGGTCAAAGAGGCGGGGATGGAGCCAGCAAAGGTGAGTGTAGGTGGGGAGTTAGGATGGGGGTTGGTCAGTCAAGGGAAGATGGGCAGGTCAAGGAGGCGGGGACGAGCTGGGCTGGTTTTGGGAGGGGGTCGGGGGTGGGGAGATTTTGAAGCTTGTGAAGTCCACGTTGAGACCATTGGGCTGCAGGGTTCCCAAGCGAAATATGAGGTGCTGTTCCTGCAACTTTTGGGTGGCATCGTTGTGGCACTGGAAGAGGCCCAGGATGGACATGTCATCCGAGGAGTGGTTTGGGGAGTTGAAGTGGTTCGTGACTGGGAGGTGCAGTCGTTTGTCACGAACCGAGCATAGGTGTTCCACAAAGCGGTCTCCAAGCCTCTGCTTGGTTTCCCCAATGTAGAGGATGTAGAAGGATGGGGAGGGAAAAATGTCCTTGGTAGTGGAGTCCTTTTTTCCTTCCCCCCTCTTATCTGCGTTCCGGAGGGACCGCTCTCTCTGTGACTCCCTTGTCCGTTCCACACTCCCCACCAGCCCCACCACCCCTGACACTTTTCCCTGCAACTGCAGGAAGTGCTACACCTGCCCCTATACCTCCCCGCTCACTCCCATCCCAGGCCCCAAGAAAACCTTCCACATTAAACAGATGTTCACCTGCACATCTGCTAATGTGGTATATTGTATCCGTTGTTCCCGATATGGCCTTCTCTACATCGGGGAAACCCAGCGGAGGCTTGGAGACCGTTTTGTGGAACATCTATGCTCGGTTCGTGACAAACAACTGCACCTCCCAGTCGCGAACCACTTCAACGACCCCTCCCACTCCTTGGACGACATGTCCATCCTGAGCCTCCTCCAGTGCCACAATGATGCCACCCGAAGGTTGCAGGAACAGCACCTCATATTTCGCTTGGGAACCCTGCAGCCCAGTGGTCTCAATGTGGACTTCACAAGCTTCAAAATCTCCCCACCCCCGACCTCATCGCAACATCAGCCCAGCTCATCCCCGCCTCCTTGACCTGTCCGTCTTTTCTCCCACTATCCGCTCCTCCCACCTCAATGACCAACCCCCACCCCCACCCCCTACCTACCAGCCTCATCCCCGCCTCCTTCACCTGCTGTGTTCATCCAGCTCTACACCTTGTTATCCTACATTATTTCAATCTGTTTTGTTGGGCATCTGACTGGCAATGTTTCAAATTTCAACTGTTCCCCATCATTTCATCCAATTGTTTTAGAATTATTTTAGGTTCTCTCATATTAATTACCTAGTTACCTCCTAAGCTTGTAACTGGTAAATCAGAATGATCATTTTCCATCCCTTTTCAGATTTTTTTGGAAAATACAACTGTCTCTGTTTTGAACTTTACATATTGCAGAGTTGCACTTTCTTACCTTCCCAGGGTTTAGCTTTTTGAAATGGGTCATCTCCTCAAAAAACATAGAACAACTCATCAATGACTCTGTGATGCACTGGCTGAGTTTTGGTGTGTATTCCGGTTTCATTTCAGTCACTTTACAGCTAAATAAAACACAAGTTTAATGTTATTTTAAAATATTGAAAGGCAAAAGTGGATAAATTCTTCTTAAGCAAGGGGGTGAAAGATTATCAGGGGTAGGTGGGATTGTGGATTTGAGGTTACATAATTAGATCAGTCATGATCTTATTCAATGGTGGAGCAAGTTCAAAGGGATGAATGAACAACAGGAGTCCCAGCACTGATCACTGCAGAACACCACTGGTCACGGATCTCTGGTCAGAAAAACACCATTCCACACTACTCTCAGTCTTCTGTGACCAAGAAAGTTCTGTATCCATCTACGGATCCCATGTGCCTTTATCTTCTGCATCAGCCTGCCTTGAGGGACCTTGTCAAAGGCCTTGCTGAAGTCTATGCAGACAACATCCATCGACCTGCCCTCACTAATTATCTTCATCACTTCTTCAAAAAACTCAATCCCCTGCAAAAAACCATGCTGCCTACTGCTAAAAAGTCCATAGTTTTTTTCAAATGTGAGTAAATCCAATCTCTAAGAATCTTCTCCAATAATTTCCCTACCACTGATTCCCTACTCAAATTATCCCTGTTACCATTCTAAAACAAAGGGACATCATTGGCTAATCTCCAGTTCTCTGGGACCTCTCCTGTGACTAAAGCAGATACAAAGATTTCATACAAGGCCCCAGAAAATTCTTCCCTCAGTATTCTTGGATAGATCCTATCAGGTCCTGTCTACCTTAAAGCTTTCTAAATCACCCAACACCACCTGTTTTTTTATATCGACTTCCACTAGAATATCAACATATACTCTATATGATCTCTAGATCCGCATCCACCATGTTCTTCTCCTTTGTGAATACTGGTACAAAGTATTTGTTAAGGATCTCACCCAATTCCTCCGGCTCAACGCATAAATTCTCTCCTTTATTCCTGAGTGGACCTACCATTTCCCTAGCTACCCACTTATGTATAAAACACCTTGGGATTTTCCCTAATCCTGTTTGCCAAGGACATTTCATGGCCCCTTTTAGCCTTCCTAATTCCTTGTTTGAGTTCTTTCCTGCTTTATATTCTTCGAAGGCTCTGTCTATTTCCAGTTTCCTAAACCTTATGTAAGCCTCCATTTTCTTTTTGACTAAGCTCACAATTTCCTCATCCAAGGTGCCCAAATCTTTCCATTCTTATACTTCATTTTCTCAAGAATAATGCTGATCCTCAACTGGTCTTTAAAAGATTCCCACATGCCTGATGTGGATTTAGCCTCAAACAAACGCTGCCAATCAGTTCTTGCCTAATACTGTCGTACTTAACCTTCCCCCAATGTAATACTTCCAACCAAGGACTACTGTTATCCTTATCCATAGTAACTTAAAACTTACAGAATTATGGTCACTGTTCCCGAAATACTCCCCCACTGAAACTTCGATTACTTGACTGGGCTTAGACGAGTGGCTTAGTGGTTAGCACTGCTACCTCACAGTGCCAGGGACCCCAGTTCTATTCCACCCTTGGGTGACTGGCCGTGTGGAATTTGCACGTTCTCTCCAGGTCTGCCAGGTGCTCCAGTTTCCTCCCATAGTCCTCAAATGTACAAGTTAAGTAGATTGCCTGTACTGTCTAGGGATGTATAAGCTAAGGTGATCAACCGCATGGTAAATATGGGGTTACTGGGATAAAGCTGGGTTTGGGTGGGATACTCTTTTGAGGTTCAGTGTGGACTCGGTGGGCCAAATGGCCTCTTTCTACACGACAGGGACTCTATGATTCGAATACCAGGTCTAGTATGACCACTTTCCTAGTTGGACTATTTAAATATTGCTTCAAGAAACCCTCCTCAACGCATCGAACAAACTCTCCCCAGTCCAAGCCCCTGGCACTAGGGGAGTCCTGGTCACTATAGGGAAAGGTAAAATCACCCACCACAACAACCCTGTTGTTTTTCCATTTTTCCATAATCTGTCTACACATCTGTTTCTCTATCACTTGCTGGCTGTTGGGAGGCCTGTAGTACAAGCTGAAAGTGATTGCATACTTCCTATTCCTGAGCTCTACCCTTCTTAGCCTTCCTTTTTGAGTAGTTGTTGGTGGTATTTTATGATTTTAACATGTGGGAATCTGTTGTTTAAATTGCCATTCAGGGAAAACCATTGCTGCAGTTTGAATAACTACAACTCAGAGTTGCTTGGTAGTTCAATTCTTGGAATTGCAGACATTGCAGTTTTATCAGCAAGGGGCAAGGATTCTTTGTTCCAGAAGGCAGTCTTACGCAGAACATTAGACTTGGCCAGTTATCACGTACTGCAGATTGTGACTGAATCAGGCCAGTTTGAGGGCCCAGCAATTAGTGATGGGGAAGCCTCAGCCCTTAAATCTGATCAACAGGAATGAGGTGTTTTTTACCTATGCAGATAAATGTGGGGAGCAAATAGGAACAGTATAGTCTGGGGGATAGACAGAGAACAGCATAGTCCAGTGTTCTCTGCCAGCATGATCAAGAAATCCAACAGCTGTGTTGCATGCCCAGTGCCAGGGTTAAGGACATCTCTTCACAGACGGAGATGAATTGGGGAGTGGGAATTGAGCATTCTGTTGTTGTGGAACACATATGCATCAAAGGGAAAGAACGAGGAATGATATGCTGTTGAGAGGTTGGGGTCCAACTTAGTACACAGAGCGCTGAATAAGTGAATTGTTACCTGGGCCTTATGCCAATTGAGATAGGTTCAAGCAGGTTCGGGAATTTAAATGCATGGCTCTAAGATGAGAGTGGGAAGAACAGCTTTCAATTTATAGTGACATCAATACTCAGCAAAGAGAGAACTGTTCTATTGGGATGGACTCCACTTATAAAAGAAAACAATTCTTTTATGCATTGAGAGTCTCCCTGCAAAGAATATCTCTATGTCTATCTGTTGCACATCTCCAATTTCCCTGAAAAGTTTACTAGGTTATTTCAGAGGACAGTTAAGAGTCAATTACATTGCTGTAGATCTGAAGTCACACAAAGGCCAGACCAGGAAAGGATGGCAGATTTTTCGATACTAAATATCACATTTTATCAATGGAAATTTAAATTCCATCAGCTACCATCCACAGGAACAGCCTGTTCCTCTGGATTACTAGTCCAGTGAAATTGCCACTACTCCATCATTACCACTTAAACTAGGCTGGAATCAGAATCCTTGTGAATCATACAGTTAGGACTTTAGAGAGGGCTTTAAAATACTGTAGTCTGGGAGGGAGGCAGTTCAGGTGAAAGGAGGTAGAATATAGAAATTCAAAAAAGACAAAGTTGAGGCAACACAATAGTGGGTCACTGAGGCTAGAGCATGAGAGAGTCTCAGAGGTTTTAACAATAATTGTGGATCAGTAAAGTTCATGCAGGGAACTGTAGTTAAAAAAAAGATTCTTTATCAATGTACAAATCATTGACAATTAGCTTGATGAATGAGTGGTAAAAGCAAATAGTTTAGATTGAATCACAGATGCAGAGACATAATTACATAGTGATTAAGGTTAGGAAACAAATATTCCAGAGCATGCAATATTTTGAAAAGACACACAAAATAGCAAAAGAAGATAAGAAAGGATAAGGATCTGGTGAGGACCGATTTGAGCGAAGTGATTATGAAGATTATGAATAGCAAGTATCAGGAAACACTGGTGCCAGTACTTGTGTACAAGTTTGAGAAATCAAATTTCAAGTAAACATGTGAACTGATACTTCAAGTCATATCTTCAAAGGGTTGAAACCTGTTTGAGGGGCTGAAATCAGTCAGCACAGCTTCATGTTAAGGTTGGAGTATGCATGATCTGATCAACACCATTTTTAAGTGGCCTCTCTTGCTTAGCAAGGTTATCAATCACTGCTTCACTGCCAAACTCTCCCAATCACTGCTCCTTTTGCTCACCTTCTCCCTCTCACCGCCCCTCTCCTGAGTCATCACACTAAGGATTGGGCAGGAAGTGGTGAATGCGAGAGCTGGTCAGAGAAACTTGTTGGAAACTGGGGTCCGCTTTAAACCTGTGTACTTTTACTAATCCATATTTCATTCACCTGTGTTACCAGTAGTAACTTGCCTTGCACAAGCATAAACAAAAGATTTATCAGGTGCTACATTAACTTTTATGACTGTGATGTCTTCAAAAATTAGAAGGGATGAAAACAAACCTTCAAATGAAGTTGGACAAAAGGTCAACAGTCACCGGGCATCATGAATAGCTGCCCACTGTCATTGACAGGTGGTGATTTATACAATCAGACCCCAAAATAAAGGCATTTTAACAGGCATAATTGGGGAGAGATAGTTCCAAGCAAGAGGGCTGAGGGAAATGATTGACCATCTTCAAGGAATTGAGACTAGTTCAGTTTAGGAAACGTGATCGGCATGGACGAGTTGGGCCGGTGTCCATTTCCGCGCTGTATGACTGAATTCCCTTACATCAGCCAGAGGAAAGAACAGAAAAAACCACAAAGACACAGGCAATGTTTCAAAACCACTACCCCTGCTCCTTCATACAGGTCACATTTGGGATCAATTCCCCTCTAAGCTGCATTATTCAAGAAAGCAGGAAAATAGAAAACTAGGAATTACAAACGTTAGCCTGACAGTCATCACAAGATGACTAGGGAATCTATTAAAAATGTCTAACAGCACACTTAAAAATATCATAGTACAATCAAAGTGGTTTCATGAGGAAATTTTGTCCAAGTTTTTTCTTAAAAAGAGGTTGTGATGATGCAACTAGTAGAGAAGATGAAGAAGAACCAATAGATGTATTTCAAAAGACATTTAATAAGATGCCATATAGAACAGGCAAGATATGGGTTCACGGAGTTGTAAATAAATTTATTAGCATGGATATAGGAAAGGTTAATGGAAGAAAGGAAAGAACAGAAATAATTAGGGCATTTTCAAATTGTCATACTCTGACTAGGAGGCACAGTGATTAGTGGTTAGCACTGTTGCCTCACAGCGCTAGGAACCCAGGTTCAATTCCAGCCTTTGGTGATTGTCTG